TCTTATCCCACTTTCATCAATTCAGCCCTTATTAAAGCCTTGCTGCCAAAGCAAGCAACTTTCAATGACCTTGGGATTACCTCAAGTACAACACCATGGAAGTAATATATCACCTAAGCATACCTAAGCCGGATGATGATTAGCTACAACAAAGAACTTAGTTTCCTTATGTCCTAACTTTGTACAACTTAAGGGAATCCCATAACCATAAACATCGAAGAAGAAGAAGAAGAAAAAATTACCAACTTTGTATATCTATAACTGCGTCCAGATATGTTTAGTCTCCTTTTGAACAAAATGTATCACCCACTATTCTGGTTAAATCCTAGATAGTTTATGGAGCATGAATCCGGAGATCTTAAAAGAAGCTAGATGAGAAAATAATACAAACAATTCATCTTTACAGACTCCCAGGGCAATAAAGACTAAGATAAGCTTTAAATAGCTAGAATCTATGTAATATCTGCTTCAACAACCTTGTCCGAAAAGGCATAAATCACAGAATTACTACCATAGACCACGACTGAGGCATACCTGATAGGAAGTATAAGGGGTAAGCATTTATATCTGATGAGATATTCAAAGAGAATCCTTTTTGACAGTTCCCCATATTAAAATCCCAAAATGGTAACAGACACACATTAGGTAATAGTAGAACTTGGGTGGAAACTATTGCAAAGTTAAATTGTTTTTAACACATAATGGCATATGAAGAAACTCAAGCATAATGTACAATTAGAAAGGAAAGGAATCTGTTCACTTTACCTGACTAGGAACTTGCCTGCCTTGAAATACTGATGAAGGTGGGAAATCAGGTTTGTATGATGGCAATGAATGGATGTAGATTGAATAAAGCTTCTCATTCCCCTTGAAAAACCTCTCCCACAACGGCGCCAAAGGTATAGGCCCTCTAGTCAAGAACATGAATGCAATCTTACGCGTTCTATTAAACGGGTATTCTTTAATTTGAGGAACAATTGAAGCTCGCCAAAACAACTGTGTGTCATTCATCGAATGCAACAGACTCGACGGAGGCCTAATCCAACTCTCCAAACTAAGTTGTTGAAAGCAGGGCTGAAATCTTGATTGTACCATAGGAATTACATTCTGCATTACTGAATACCGAACCATACACATACTAAGCAATGAAAATACAATACCAATACCCAAAAACAACAACAGAAACTGAAGTAACCTTATTGATAAAGGCTTATACTGAGTTACCACCTTAGTAACAGAATCTTTACCCTCCTCCAATGACCCTTGACTCCCTACTCTTGACTTCATTTCCAATTCTACCAAGCTCTTTCTTCCCCTAACAAAATCACTTCAAGAAAACTCAAATTTTTTTTTTTACCAAATTGCTATACTTATCATTGGTGTGTGGTTCACAACATTCTACTTTTAAAAAGCAGGGATTTTCAAGAATCACATTAAACAAGTCGATTCAAGTTTCAACCAAACAGTATAGGTAATAAAATTCCAACCCCAGATCAAGAAAATCACAACAAAGCAAGTGGATATGTCCCAAGATCACAAAAAGTTAAAAAAAATTCAAATCCCAAGATTTGGGTACTGAATCAATACTATGCCGGAAATGGTGAAACAGATATCATGGGGGTGGAGCAAGAAAGTTTAAAATTGAACTAATCTTTTAATTGTACTTAATAAATGAGTGTATGGGCATGATTGAAGGAACAAATCTTGTTTATGAAGAATCCATAGACCAAAAAAGAAGTTTTTGAGTCTAAAGGGATAAAAACAGAATCTTGTTGTCACACCAAATCTGTTGGTGTAGTAGCTTTATAGCTTGCAGATGACATCTTCTCCAGATGTCGAAATAATAGAGAAATTTTAAAGGGTTTTTCCAGTAATCGAAGTTGTCTTTGTTGGAAGCCCAAAGAAAACTTTTTTATAAATGTGAGAGAGAAGGAATAGGTGTATGTTTTTTATTGTTGTTGGAAGAACCTAGATGTTTGCGTAATTAGATTTGTCTTATGTTTTTCCATTGAAAATAATAAAATGACTAATGACCATTTATTTTGTTTCCTTCTTTTTTTTGGTTTTTTGTCATTTAAATATTTTTAAGATCCGAGGGTTGAGGATTGAACTTTTCTATCACTTTTTAAATGCTTTCCTTTTTTTTCATACTTATTTATACTCCCTCCGTCTCATTTTATATATCATCCAATTCTATAAATAGTTGGACTACAATACTTGTCATTTTATAAAATTTATACATAAATTACCATATTTTGCCTATTATACCCTTGATAGAATAGTTAATTAATATTGTCATTTATTAATAAAGTTGACTTAAAAAAACATTAAATAAGGGTAGAAAGGTAAAGTTACATAATTTCTTCATGCAAGTGCAAAGTAAAAAGATGACATATAAAATGGGACGGAGGGAGTACTAGTTAAGTGTACGTGTTTCATATATATGTATCGTACTAAATAATAGGAGTAACAAATATATGTAAAAAAAAATAGTGATTGTGGTTTGTACATGACAAGTTTAAAATCACAATATTTAAATTACTAAGCATAAGCTAGGTTGGCATTTTTGGCCTATATATTCCTCTGTTAAATATTAGAAGTATTTATGGTATCAAAATTAATGGTTAATAAAAAATTGTCAATAAATATCTGCTTCAATGAATGCAAAATCTGGTTTTCAAATATTCTCAAATTTATTTTTAGAAAAAAATTTACTTCCACTAACTTTAATTTTTTTGCCAAAATAAAAGCATGTTTGAACATAATCTCAAGATTACTTCTCCATTTCTCTTCTCTCTCAAGAGATTTTTACAATCCCACAATTCTAAATCAACATTATATTTTTCTTAAATATATAATTGCGAGTAACTAAATATTTAATTGTTTTGTCTTATTTACTCATAATAATATAATCAAATTAACTCAATTACGTGAGATCTTTTACTTATTGAAATTCAAACTTAAATAAATTTGTTTCTCTGTTAAGGTTCATCAGCCCCATCTATTGATAAAAAATAATAGAGAATTTTAGACTAATATCTGATTATCTTGATCTCAATAAATAAGTCATTAAACAATGATCCAAATTCAGCATTCACATATTACTTGGATTTGGTTTCTTTTATGTATAACTACTTATTGAAGTATTTATTTTAATCAATATTATGTTAGGAAGTTATAATATAATTTGATGTACAAGTACAAAACACTTATTAAAAAGCTAGTAGCTAACTTGAAAAATTGGCATAACATATCAACTAAGACTTCAAATCAACATTCACTAGTCATGTTTTTTTAAAATTAGCATAAAATGACCATTTTACACGTTTTGGGCTAATAATTTGACATTTCTTAAATAAAAAATTAGAGAGTAACTAAAATTAATATTTTCTCCCCTGTAACATTCTCTCTTATTAATTCTTCTAAAATTTTCAAATATTTATTTCTTTCAGATTTTGCTTTTAAAATTTCTCCAGTAGCATGTTTATCTTCTCCATATTTCACTTCCTTTCAAGTTTTCATTGAAATCTCACAAAATTTTATCTATCATATTTTACAAAAAAATTAAAAAAAATTTATTGGCTTTGCAAATGCAAGATAATTTTGTGGTTTGGATATTTATCGGAGTCCCATAATATTTTATCTGTCATATTTTACGGAAAAGGTTTAAAAATGCAAAATAACCTTATGATTTGAGATGATTTGGTGTATTTCTTGTGTGATTTTACTTATAGATTGATGGGATAAGAAAAGTTCTAGAAAAAAAAATAGAAGATCAAATTTGGGCTAATGATTTTGATTATGAATGAGTTTGAGGTTGTAATTATTTTTAAATTAATTTTTAATTGAGTTTGCATACATATAATATGTATATCTGCTAATAAATTTACATAGCAAATTTGTATACATATGTTAGTATTGATATTCATTAATTTGTATTCACCTAATAAATTGATATACATTTATATTGTTATACCTTAGTTCGTATTCACCTAATGTACTTGTATACATTCGATTATCTTTTTAATTGATTTGAAGTTGAGTTTGTATATATGTAAATGTATACATCTGCTAATAAACTCATCTAACAAATTTGTATACATTTATTTATGTTGATATTCATTTTTCAATATTCACCTAATAAAATGATATACATTGGTCCTTATTCACATAATAAATTAATATATATATATATATATATATTTGACTTAATATACATTGATTTGTATTCACCTAATAAATTGTATATGTATAAAAAAATTAATTGTTGAATTAAAATAATAATATTTTAACTAATACTTATTGCATATCAAAGGGACAAAATAAAACAATGAAGACCTAATTTTAGAAAAACGAGATAATCGAATCAATAGTTTTAAGGATATCTAATAACTAAATAAGAATAAAATAAAATAAATGAATTCCTAATTTTAAAAATATCTATCAACAGGGGAAAAAATGGATCCCTAATTCTAGGGATATAAAAACTTAAAATAAGAAGAAAAAAAATATATTTTCTCTCCTATTTTTTTCAAGCAAAATAAATGGATAAATGGTTTAGCTAGATAGTGCCATTTTTTTAGGCTTGAAATTTTCCAAATATTATTGGGTTAAAAATTATTTCTTATGTCCATTTCATATGAGTTAATTTGATTTAACCTGAAATTTTAAAAATAAAGAAAAACTTTTAAAATTGGTGATTTAAAGTAAGTGATGGATATTTATATGAATATAAATTATTTTATTAGAAATAAAATAAATATTTTAAAATTAAATTACTACTAAAAATAAAAATATGACATTTTTTTGGACTTACGGGAAAATAAGATATCAATTTTATACTAGATTTGTACCTATGTGTCAATTCTGAGAATAGAGACAAAATCCATATGGTGGCGTTAATCAGGCCCCAGAAACTGTCTTTGGGCTTTTAAGCAGAATTCAAAGCCCAAGTCAGCGAACAACAGTATAAATATCTTGACCGGTTTCATTCAACACAGTTCGTCTTCTCAAATTCCAAGTATCTGCAAGCCACAACAGGTAATTTCGCATTTTTCTTTGATTTTCTCCGAGATTATTGGTATGTACGCTCTAATTGTTATTCGATTTGGAATTTAGAGTTTCAGGTTTATTAAGATGATCATGCTTAGATTTCTTCACAGTCTGTTTTAATTTTTTAAAATTATATATAGGGTTAGGACAAGGGGAAATTGGAGAGGGGATTAGAAGGTGGATAATCGAACTCTCGTGGATAGGGTGACTCTTCAGATAGCCAAACAACTGAATTATATGATCCCTGTTACTTGCCATTCTGTGATGTTTATGTATACGTTATTTTGGCACAACGGTATGATCAAATTGTTACTCAATTTGGCATTTAGGGTTTCAAGCTGATTAAGATGGTTGCGTTTAGGTTATTTTGCATTCTATCATGTTTATTTTGGCACAAATATTAGTAAAATCATTTAGTTTTTGTGTTTTAATAACCCGCTGATAAAGGTTAGAAATTGATTGACACCTTTCCTTATTTTTTCTTCTATTGATTTTGGATTGGATTGTTTTCCTTTTGGGTCTCTTTTGGGGATTTAGTTTGTGCTAGAACTACAGATTTAGTCTTCTCATTGTGCTCAAGTGATAAGAAATAAAATGGAATTTTATTGAATCTAAACGTGATTTTTTGGCAACAGTATGATGTCTAAAACTTAAAACTTTACACTTATTGTTTGCCAAACGAAGGGTCTCTAGATTTTCCAAAGACAGGACGCTAATGAAGAAAAGGAAAGGAAAAGGCAGGACACAGAGAAAGAATAGAAAAAAGGGAAAGATGATGGAGATCACCAACACAGATGAAAGAGCAGTTAATGCGGACAGGATCTCTGAGTTGCCTGAACACATTTTACATCACATCCTTTGTCTTCTCCGATGGCCAGCGGATTTAGCAAGAACTAGCATTTTGTCTAAGAAGTGGAAAGTCATTTGGGAGTCTTTCACGTCCTTTGATTTTGATCAGAGACACTTCCAATGTGTAAACGCTGCAGATAAATGGGATCATCTCCAACCTCTACCAGTGGAGAAACAGAGCTCAATTTTCAAACAGGCGTTTGAATCCCTGGGGTTTGTGGAGCTTCCATTAATACATAAGTTCATTCTGTTTGTCGAGAATACGTTAGGAACCAGACTTGACCAGTTGCCAAGTATACAGAAGTTCAGGCTGCATGTCGTCTTTTCTGTTCATCTTCTGGCTCCCTTTATGAATCACTGGATAAGTGTTGCTACAGACAAAAATGTTAATGAGCTTGATATTCATGCAAAAATGGATGGCAAATTTTATGCCCTGCCTGAGCTTGTATTTGCTTCCAAGACAATAACTTCATTGAAGCTCAACGGATGTGAAGTGGGTGATTCTACTGCCATAAAGCTCCAAAATCTACGGGAGTTATCCATGAAAGCAATGCGTATCAATGAGAATATAGTCCATAATTTTGTCCAGGCCTGCCCTTTGATCGAGGATATGCGACTGATCAATTGCTATGGTTTGAAATTCTTGCATGTTTCATCTCTGCCTAAACTAAATAAGTTTGAGGTACATGAGCGATCCAGCCTCAGGTCAGTCAAACTTGAGGTACCCAATCTTGAGACATTTTGGTTCCATGGGAAGAAATCTTCAAGGTGCAAATTAATCTTAGCAGGGTGTGGAAATCTTAAGAATTTGACTTTGAAGCATTCACATATGGCAGATAAGTCCTTTCATGAACTTGTCTCCCACTTCCCACTACTTGAAAAACTGTTCCTGTTGGAATGCCGTACATTGCACAGAATTACAATATTGAGTGACAAGCTGAAGACACTCTCTCTGGTAAGGTGCCACAAACTAAAGGAAGCCAACATTGATGCACCAAATCTACTTTCATTTGAGTATACTGGTGCTGAGTTGCCGTTTTCTTCCATGAATGCTTCACGGTTGCAAGAAGTGAAGCTTCACTTGAAATCCCAAAAACAGAAGTCAGTGCAGAAATTCATTGAAGGGTTTGATGGCAAAGGCTTCAAGTTGTTTCTTGCCTCCAAACAGGTTTCAAACTTCTTATCAGCAATGATTCATTGATTCTATATGGATTTCTCATATGTTCTATTTTTTGCTTATTTATTCATGTTGCATTTATAGGGTGTGAATATATATGAGGAATTGAGAGGACTTCATCTTTCTTATTTTGGAGCATACAAGATACAATTGACTAAATCAGCAAGAATGGTGGAAAATCTCCTCAACAGTCACTTGCGAGATTTTCATCCAAAAACTCTCATCTTAAAGACATCTCTCACAAGTGACCTCCTCGTGGTAAGATGACCTGTCTTTATTGGATCCTTAAGTCATACTTTCTGGTTCTTCAATGCTTTCAATTACTACAGTGGATTGGACTCATTGTTATTTTTTGTGGAATACAGTTCATTCAGGAGAAGATATTGAACAAAGAGAAGACTCCTCCTAGCTGTTGTAAATATTACTCGAAGAAATGCTGGCGACATTATTTAGAAGGCGCTAAAATGTCTCTGTTTCCAGATGCGTCCTCTGCGGAGTATCCTAATACGATCTTGGAACTAAAATGGAGCGAAGCTGCACCTCTGCCGGGATGTAGAGATATGAAGGATATCAATGAGTAATACATAGGACATATATGCATTGCCTGTACTTATTAAGTCATTTATTTGAACTAGTTTTTGTTTTTTAGATCATTTTACTATCAGACGAGCTCATCGGATTTTGGTTCGAAATATTATACTTCAGTGGAAATAAGCCGAAATTGGTTGATCCCGCCCCCTTATCTGACCCAAACTGACCAAGGTCAAATTAAAGAACGTTCTTTACATGGGTGTATCTAAATAATTCGTTAACGCCATTTTCTGATGGTTGGTTTTTGCATGAAATTTGGACAATTTTGGGATGGAAGTTTAGTGCTGTCTTGTTAATTTTATCAGCTCCCTTCCATATCAGAGAGGAACTATCTTTAGACGATTCATTGTACATATTTCAGCCTTCTTTAGTGCTGGTTTTAAGTGAAGGACTCTTTCCTTTACTGGTAAAAAGAAGGTGCATTAGTGATTATTGGAACAAGCACTGCTACGCTGTCTCTGTTGCCTTTGCCATACGCATCTGATTCTTACCCAAAATCTCAACTATGATAAGATTTGCACAGTTTCCACTACTGTCTATTGGAAAGATGCAAAGCTAAGGTTCTGAAAAATGGTAAAAATCGGTATCAGATACGTCCTGCAATAACAATGGTTTCTCCCACTATATAAACACTACAACGATAGGTTGGCTTCTGCTACTATATAAAACCGGTTCTTTCTTGAAATCAACTTGATTAGTAAGTTTTGGAGTCTTATCTTTGCATTTTACGGTGATGGACAGGGTAAGTTATCAAATTTAAATTTTTGATTCATTTCTGAATGTAAGCAAAGTTTCATTGTTTAGACTTTAGGCTATGCTATTGTAAGATTGATGGACTAATATCGAGTGGATAAACTGTATGTGGAGAAGGGCGAAGGAAGCGAAATAAAGAAGAGGATCGTCATTGGATCATGGGGTGGTCATGGTGGAAGCCCTTGGGATGATGGTAGTTTCAATGGAGTGAGAGAAATTTCCCTTGTCTATTCTCTTTGTATAGACTCCATCACTGTGGTCTATGACCAAAATGGCCAGCCTTATCAAGCAGAGAAGCATGGAGGAGTTGGAGGCAGTAGAACTGCGCAGGTGACACATTTTAGTACATACACTGATAATACAACCAAAAAAAATTAATACTAGGGTAGTTTCACTCATTATAGCATGTTAGTTACCTGCCATTTATCAGGTTTAATTTAGCACGTTATTTTATTAAAGGGAAAATGGACATCAGGTAGTTCATGAAAATGAGATTGCCCAAAACCATACGGGAGAAAACAATCCAAGTCCTTCATCGGACTAGATTGAGTTTGACTCTGATACCATGTTAAGGAACGGGTCTTAGGTGTAATTCAACCATAAAATCAGTTCATAAAGTGAATAATTTCTAACTGGTAAGGAGACGATTACTCCTCACCTAATGTTGGACACTTCACAATTTGCATATAAATTACACCCAAGTGTTCTAATTGTATCCTTTTGGAATACTGTCAGTGTATAAAACTTGGAACTCTTCTCTCTTTCTTGGTCTTTTGCCATCAAATCTTGTTATTACTACGATCTTAATGCCTATAAGTGAATCTCAATTCCAGATTAAGCTGCAATTTCCAGAAGAATACCTGACAAGCGTTAGCGGCTATTATTCTCCGGTGGTGTATGGTGGCAGTCCTGTGATAAGGTCCCTCACTTTTAGCAGCAACAAACGAAAATTTGGACCATTTGGTGTTGAAGGAGGAACACCATTTTCAATGCCAATGGAAGGTGGGCAGATTGTAGGCTTTAAGGGAAGAAGTGGATGGTATTTAGATGCTATTGGCTTTTATATAGCTAAAGTGAAGACAACTACAGTCTTACAGAAGGCTCAACAAAGTCTAGTGAAACTTGCATCTTCTGTGTCTATGAACTACAGATCTGGAGATGAACCAAAAAAGTACTCTTATTTCTACAAACCAACTAATCCAAAAACTGAAGCATAAGGAACTGGACCTCGAGTCAGTCAACCTGGTTCCAATTCGACCAATCCAAAGAAGAAAGTTTACAAGGGAAAGATCTCCCTATGAAAACTTGTGTTCATTCATAGTCTGTAACTCACTTATCTGTACTACAAAGAAAAAGTAACATGATTTAACAACCATTTCTTGTTGACGTTTATGCTTTAGCTTTATATACTTTTATATTTTGAAAATTCACACAACAAAACACCTGAACCACCTAAAGCATTCTAGCTTTCATGGCAAGACATGTTTAGTCTTGCTTCTTCCATCATTGGTCTGCATAAGTAAATCTCCACCCTCACCTCTTCAACAGAGAAATAGAGAGTTTTGAACATATCTAAACCCAGGGGAGCAGATGAGCAAACTTTTAAATTGAAACACACAGCATATCATCAAATCTTCTACCGATCAAAAAGTGTATTTATCTCTTAATAAACATATGTTCAGCACTTGTGCTGTCTGATCTAGGGCCAAAACTGGCACAGGTATAACTTGCAATACCTCATTACAACATTTGAGAAATGAGCAAAATAATACTTCCGCGTTCAGCATAAAACACAAGTTATCTTAACGGGCTCTTCTTTAAGAATGAGATGATGAATCTGTTTTCTCAGCCAAATAGTGCTCAAGCATATCTTCTTCTTCATCATCTGTTCACACACAGAAAACAATTAAAGAGAAAAATAATCACGTCATTTTGATCCACAAACAAATAAACAGAAGTAAAGCATGAACAAGAACAAAAAAATTGACCTTCAAAATCATCATCATCGAAATCAATATCATCCACGTCTTCATCAGATTCTTCAGCAGTAGCTGTTGCAGCTTTCTGTTGACAGAAAGAAAAACCTATTTAACAACAGCACGCATAGCCTGAACCCACAACCTTGCCTAAGCAGCTTATGCAGTAACAGCACCTCACACCCAAATCAAATGAGCTACCACTACATACAGCAAACACTTGTGTATACTATTTTAACCTTTCAAATTAATGTATGGTCAGGGAACTTCACTAGCAGCAGGACTAATCAGAAGGAAAAGGAACAGGGCCCAGAGCTACACTTTCATCATACAGGTATTCTTTTCTCTGAGCCCCATAACCCCTGTCTCAGTAGCAGCAAAAGTTCTGACAACACAAAAGTAAAGATAATAGAACAAATACCGAGATCACATTAAAAATCAGGTCAGAGGGCATTTATTGCTTGCATCTTACATTTTTAATCATGCTGAATGCAGAATAACATCAATACATTGTTATCATGTCTTAGACTAATGTCAGTATATTTTAGCAAAGAGAATTGGAGGTTTGTCTTGATATAACATTGCCTTCACATTTATTAAACACACAAAAAGGGAGACAGACTCCCCATAATGGGATAGTCTTATGGAACTCTGGTCAGTATCTACAGAGTTGAAACTATAGCTCAGTGTCCTCTTTAACACAAATCATTTTGATGGCCATTATAAACTCAGTTTCCATTATAACACAAAGCAACGCAGGCATAGATGAGATTAAACTAGCATGATTTCATAATTAACTTAGAAACAGCAACTACACAATAGAATACATTACCCCACTGGCTCTTCCACTTTCAAACCATTGCCTCCCTGTCAGTTTCTTTTCCTTCGAAACAGAAAGTGCTGCATCTGGCATTAACCTGAACATTGATATATGGTTGCACACCATGAACAAAATAGCCAAATTTAGAGAAAAGGAAATGCAGAAAAGTAGTTGACCAGCCACACGTTTCTAAAGCAAAAATGTTGAAAGCAAAGGAGTTTAAGAGGTAACATAATATGATAATAATCAACACATTCTGACTATATACTCGTCGATTCAACATTTCCTAATATCTGACACACAAACCTGTTTAAAAGTCCCTGCACTCCACAAATAAGAAAAAGAATGAACATTTCACTCTGGCAACAAAGTGCCCCTAAAGTTGCCCAGGATTTATGATTATCACAGATTAAGAGTTGATGATTTGTTTTTACTGTATGCAGCTTCACTGGCATTTCAGAAAGTATAATGCTTCTAGTTTAGTGGATGAAGAAGACCCACTTCAGCGCTACGACCTTGGCCAAGAAGTGAATGCAAAAAACTTACTTGGCTCTTTCCAAAGCTAGTTCAGCTTCAAATCTTTCCCTCCATGCCAAGAATGTTTCAACGGTAACTGCTTCTCCATGTGGTACAATTACCTGAAGTCAAATGAACAATAACAATTAAGGGATCAAGATTCAAGGCCAATCAATCAAAACAATAAGTGACTTGACGATTTTCCATTAGGTAGTTCAAAATAGCACCACAGAATTGCTTATAAATATGTAATGCAAGCTAGATCTGCAAGGTTTCCTGAAGAGGCTAACTAACAAAAGTGAAGAATTGAAGTGTTGGTCACCTCTGACTACCTTGACTAAGAGACGGATATCACTTTCATGCTCAAACTAGAAAAAGTAACAGCACTCACACTGTTGACAACTTCGGGTAGATTTCAAGTACATCCCAATATCTTGGCCAGGCTGTCCCTTCTTAAGCCAAAACACAAACTATTTCTTTAGAAGAATATATGTTGGAGCCTGATTCCAAGTACCATGAGAATGGAACATGCTCCCCCCCCCCCTTCAAACCCCACCCTCGTTTCCCTTTCTTATTTGAGTGGATAAGTTATCAAAATCATACTAAAGCAACCAGGTCTTGTCTAGTGTTATCACAGGAATGCTTAATCCCTGAAGCAAAGCACAAAACGTGTTGAGCGCTTTGCCTCGCTTCATAGGCACTTCAGTGTTCTCATCAAGGCTATAAGACATTTTTCCTTGCCAATGAGCGTAATCTAGAAAGGGAACACAAAATAATTGATATTTATTTGGAGCTTTCTTGTGCTTTTTGCCTTTGATAACACTGGTTTTGTCTACTTAAATAGAAGTTGGGAACTCATGATTCATGTGTCAAAATCACTGAAATCTTCGATTTATGACTTTCGAGTTTGCAGTTGATGAAAGCTCATTTCACATGCAACAACTCAGTAAGGACAAAAAAAAAACATACTTCCTCTTTTTTGGCTTCATTGTCTTCAACACCTTCGTCGGTCTCTTGAGCAAATCTTTCAGATAGCCAGTCTTTAGCTGATGAGACCAATGTGTAGATCATAGCCATGCCAAGATTCTCAACAGCCTGTGAATGCAAGCATTCATAGAAGAAGCTAAGACATAAAAAACAAGTGCATGAAATTACAAAAGAACAACACTAGTCAATTTTATTAATTATTCTACATCAGTAGCTAACTATTA